TGCTCCTCCGAGGTTAGTTTTTCCGTGGGAGGCTGGGCTTCGCGGCTTCGACGGCCCCGCTTCTTATTTTGATTGATCGGCTGCACGCTTTCGTTCGTTTTCGGGTACAGGAAAGGCTGGACGAATCGAAATGCACAGGCGAATAAAACAGGCAACCCGCATAGTAAGGATGCTCAATTTTCCCATGGGTACCCTTGCATCCTTGCCTCCTCGGTCCATCCTTGGCCACTTTCGTTGTCCGCGCCCCGCTCGACAAGCTTCGAAACGGCCTTCCGAGGCCCTTGCATCCTCATCGTGCGTCCTTGTGATACGGGTCGACTGTATGCAAAACCATGGCGGGGACGAGGAGGGCCGGAGCAGGCCCGAGGTGTATCCACGATGCCGCAACGCACCCCAGCATTCCCCAGGTTCCCCCCCTCCGCAGACATTCCAGGCGCTCATCTCCGCTGCGCGAGGCGCCCGCCGGGTGGGAGCTCCGTGTCAGAGAGGGAAGCAGAACGCCGAAGGAAGCAGGGAGCCCAGGGCAGCACAAAGTTGGGAGCACAGAGCCCAGGGAAGTATAGAGTCAAAGGTGGCACAGAGTTGGGAGCACAGGGTCCAAGGAAGTGTCCTGCCACAGAGTCCCGCGTGGAGAAGGAGCCGCCGTTCGGCCGAACCTTTGTGTTCCACGAGCTCGGACTTTCTGTCACAGGATCGAAGGAAGTCTCAGGCGCGAGAGCCTCGTGCTGAAAAGAAGCGCCCTGCACCTGGGCTCCTGCTGCAGAAATTCGTGCTTGCGTTCTCGCTGCACGTGGCGCGAGAATTCGAGCTCGAAAATGATCGCCCACCTCCGCGTGACCTGCTGGACGGTGGAAATACGGAAGGGCGCGGCGCCCAGGCGAGAGCCCCATCCTGAAAGCGGCCCGCCTTCCATCCGTGTGATTGTTGGGTTGTCACGTTTCCCCCTTATTCGATGTGCCGGATTGTTATTCTTAGTGTGACGCCCCCGCTTCCTTGTTTCCTCCTTCCTCCTTCCGCCGCATACCTCATCGTTCCTCCCGTATCCAGATTCACTCACGCGCATACCTGCCATGCCCAATCACACACATACACACACTCGCGTAGTATCAGACCTGACCAAACTAAGTCACATTCAGGCCATCCGTAACCAGACACGTGCACTACCGACACGTAGTAGTATCGTACCCACAACCTTGTACTCAGATACACCCAGGATCACTCGCTCTCTCGACTCATGCTCATACATGTTCGCTGTTTCCCAACTCCTGATTACTGCGTTTTTGTACTCGTAATCAGAGCGGGTTTCTAGTTATCAGTGAGGCCCCTCCACCTCAATCCTTCCTCGTCCTCCCTCCATTGCGATTTGCGTTCAGTCCCAATCATCCTCAGGTACTCCTAGTTAGAGCTACCTTCTTCATACGTTGGGATATGCTTTCTCATAGTCTGTTTCGCTCATGATCAGTCTCGCTCATAGTAGGCGCTCACTTTCACACGCATTCGTATACATACCCACTAGCACTCATACGCAATCACATTGAAGTTACTGATTGCCAGACTCACTCGCACAGATATTCATACTCAAACACACCAGTACCCGAATGTATTCATAAGCAAATTCGGAGTGAAAGCACTCATACTCCGACTTGCTAATCGGGGATTTGCGCAAGCCCAGTGACCCACGGAGCTCAAGACCCGCTCACACCCAATCGCTCACAGAACTCTCCTGACCGCGCCCACGCAAACGGTCATAACCAGACCCATTCATACCCCCACTGTCTCGCTCCTAAAAGCAGTCTCTCGTCTAAACCCCTTGATCACCGCAGTGTAGCAGGTAGTGCCTCTGGGCCGCTCCGAGGGGCCACCGGGGAGTGTTGCGCGAGCCCGCCTGCTGCCTGATTGCTGGGACCTCTGGGGCGACACGTCTGTTCTGGCCCCGTGGGCGCGTCTTTCCTCGGCTCCCCCATGGCCACCGCGACGGCGTCCGCATGGCGCTCGGGCCGTGCGTGGCGTGCCCACCCGGGGTGCTCTGCGCGGCCCCGCTCGCGCCAAGGTCTGGGGGGGGGCCGCTCCAACGGGGCGTCTGTTTCCGTGCCGTCGCGGGGCCTCTCCGCAGATCGCACGGCGGCCGCGGTGTGGCAGGCATTCTCCGCGTGGGCTTCCCGAGGGGGAGGCCACCACAGGGGGGGGGGCTCTGCGCGGGCCCGCGCACGCCCAGACCGCAGGGACCTTTGTGGTGGAGCAGCTGTGTCGGCCACGCGGGCGAGTCTTCTTTTCTCACGGCCCCATGATCACCGCGACCTGGCAGCCTGGCAGGCGTTCCAGGTGGGCAAGGGGTCGACCCATAACGGTGTTCTGGCGAGTTCATGGGGCGTGTTCGTTGCGGCTTCGTCTGCAGCAGAGGCGGATTGAAGACGGAACGAGGGAAAACGAAACCAAATCCAACAGAAACAAACATTGTTTAGAGCGATCCCTGCTTTGGGCCACGACCACCGCGGTGTAGGAGGCATGGTACGCGGGGGTTCCAAGGTGGGGGTGACGACCACGGGTGTTGTGCGGGCCGGCTCGTGTCCAGATGGTTGGTGCAGGGGGAGTCAGGCGAAACGCATGTCTACATTCTGCTGGAGGCGTAGTGCAACGCGACATGTGTTTCAATTTCTTGCCCCGCCCCTTCTCCCCCAGATATGGTAGCAAGTCATGGGAGCCTGGTATACCCTCTTAAGTCCGTCTCTAGCGTCGATTCGCGTTTGGGAGTCGGTGAGGCAGCGCCGATTTCGCGTTGGCTAGCGTCGATTCGCGTCGATTCAGCGTCGACTAGCGTCGATTTAGCGTCGAGGAGCGTCGATTCGCAAGAGCTGGCAAGATGGTATGGGGGGCTCCCATGAGTTGCCACCGAACCCAGACCCCCGATCTTAATATTGAGTCAGCCGCGGCGGACGGCCGAAAAATCCGATTGCGCGGCGCCCCACGCGAAGATTAAAACTGAGGGTCGCGGGGAGACGGACCGCGCGCGAGACTTGCATTGCCTGTCCAGGGCAGAGTAGGCCCCGTGGGCGCGTCCCTTTTCCGAGCCTGTGGCCACCGCGATTCAAGGCGCACCCCCGCCGCTGCCTCACTGCACGCCCCCATGGTCCTTCCAGATCGGGTGCGTTGGCCCCAACGGTGCTCTGGTAGCTCGCACTTGGTGGCGCTCAGGTTCCCGAAACAGCCTGTCCGTAACGGGTCCCGTTCTGCATTTGAGAAGCACGCTTCCGAAGCAACGACCGCGCAAAGGCTGCTGCCCGAGTGCCGTGCCGTGCCGTGCCCACGCCGAGTGCCCGCATTCCCGCATGCCGAGAAAAGGTGCCGTGCGCCTGCCGCGCCGCACCTGTACGTGCCATGCCGTGCCCACGCGCGCCGTGCTCGGCCCGCGCGCTCGGCCCGCGCCCCTGCCGGGACCTCGAAGCACGAGAAAAAGTAATGGAGGACGACGATCAATGAATGACCGGGGGTCGTGTTCACGCGGCGGCGCCCGGGATGACGATTGGAAAAAACCGGCCGCGGGCTGGAACACTATTGCTTTAATCGTTCTCCTCCAGTCAGAAAACTGTGCAGAAAGAGCAGAGAACTATTTTTGTTGATCGTTCTCTCCCATTTTTTAGTAATCGTCATCCCTCATTACTCATTACCTCACGGGCTGCCCTCCCCGGCACGGACCCCCGGGCCAAAAGCTGCCGCACCCGTGCGCGTGCACCGCGCCGTCGCCGCGCGCGCGCGTGCCGTGCGCCGTGCGCCGCGCCGTGCCCGCGCGCCGTGCCGGGCCCGTGCCGTTGCGAAGTGGTCAGACGTCGTGCGTTTCCTGGTGCTACGTTGATGTTTGGGGTCTCCACGCGGGGGCACTTTGGATCACCTTTGGTCACCACCTACCAAACCACCCCAACCCAACCCGAAGGCCTCAATTTGCCCTCCATCTCCAGTGTGGGGGGGGGGGTCGGGGAACGTTGAAAAAACACATATGGAACCCGTACCCCCCCCAAGCCGAAATTGGGGTCTTCGGGTTGGGTTGGGGTGGTCTGGTAGGTAGTCAGGTGCTGCGTTGATTTTTGGGTCTGCACGCGGGTGCACTTTGGATCACCTTGGTTTCTCGTAGGCCGGCTCTCCTCAGGGCCGTTCGTCATCAGTGGCCGCCATCGCCGCCCCAGGGGTTCCATCTTGTAGCGAGCGGGTGCCTTGCACATCCCTGCGCCACAGCGACCGGAGCGCCACCGAGCAGCAGAGAGCGGCAGACGGCTGCCCGAAATAGTAGAGCCAAGCGCTCGCATGCGGACTCACGCTCTGACTTCCTCGCGCTCTGGCTCGCTCCTTCTCGTGCCCTCACACAGGGGGCGATCCAGATAAGGACGTACACACAGGGGCAGATCCGCGACGAGTTATATCAAGACGAGTCATGTTAATTAGGAGACAGCCCATTTTGAAAACCACCCGCCCTCCATCCGTGTAGCGGTCGGGAATACAGAGTACGAGCTTGCGCGGCGCCAAGGCGAGATCCCAATTTTGAAAACGGTCCGCCGTGTTGCTGTCTGTTGGAGGCAAGGGCGCGCGACTCCGTGCCGGCAGCCCGATCTTGAGAACTGCTCGCCTGCATCCGAGTGCGGCGGTTGGAGAGTTGGAAGCTTCTAGATCCGCAGGCAGTGGGGGGGGCCTCAAAGTTCAGGAGGGGAAAAAACACACAGACACAATTAATCGTCGATTCACCAGAAAATATACGAAAATATGGGAAGTGGTGGGGAAGACAGAAACCCAGAAAATATGAGAAAATATAGGGAATCTTTTTATTTGTGTGTATTTATTTGTGTGTCCCTGGGCCCCTTCAAAAGTGAAGCACCCAGCCCGCCGCTGGGCCGCAGCGCGCCCCGCGGGCGGGGCGGGCCCCCCCGGGGGTGCGGCGCGAGAGGCCGAGGCCCTGCATTTCCGCCCGGCGCGGCCGAGCGCCTCTCTCCCGGCCGGGGGGGGGCGGCCCAGAGGCCGAGGAGGCCCACGCGCACGTGGTGGAGCTCGGGGTGATGGCGACGCTGGCCGACGTGCCGTGCGTGCCCGACGTGTACCACTTCACGAGGACTCGGGGGCAGCTCGGCGCCGCTCGTCGAGAAGAGGAGGAGCTTTTCGGGGAGGGACCGGTACCGCAGGTGCCCGTACCGCTGCCCTCCGCCCGTTTTGCCCTTCTTGGGGGGCTTCCTGGGAGTCCTTGGTCGCCACCGCTGGATTCGCCTCGAAATTTGGGCTAGAACGCACTTCAGGAGAGGTCCGGGGTGTAGCGGTATCGGTACACATTGTTCATTTCTAGTTATTCGAAAGTTCTTTGATTTTGGGGGGGCAAGATCCTTTCACTTCTAATTGTTCTATCCTGGGGCTCTTCCTGGCCGCTAGGGGGCCAGCACAATTAGAAACGAGCACCATTAGAAATGAGCACGATTCGACATAAACGACGTGTACCTTTAGGTTTCCCCAAGATTGGCGCACTTCAGCAGAAGCCTTCGGAGCTCCGTGCGGATCTCTTGGATCGGCTCTGGGCCATCCTCCCTGGCGTGCGGAGCGCGGCAGCGGCGGCGCCGGAGGCGCTGCCGGGGGCGTCCAGCGCCGACTCGGGAAATCCATGCGGACTTCCGAAAGTTTATGTTGTGATGGGCCGATCGTCCACCACCACTACGAGAGGTAGGAGAGGGAGGAGGGGAAGGAGGAGGAGAAGGAGGAGGAGGAGGAGGAGGAGGAGGAGGAGGAGGAGGAGGAAGGGCCATCGGGGGCCCGAATCCGCGCCGCACCCCCTTCGGCCCCCAGCGGCCACAGGGGCGGGCGGCCGTGCGGGCCGGCCCCAGGCGCGCGCTTCCCAGCAGGCGCCGCGATGTTCTCTTTCTTCTTTTTCCTTGAGATTCCTTGATATTCATCAAGATAATGGCATCACGGGGAGGCTGCCCACCATCAGGGCGGCCCCGCAGCAGCCTCCGAGCCCGCGAGGCCGCGGAGCTGGGCCCCACAGCCGCCCGGCGGGCCGCGAGGCGGCGGCGCCCCGCCGCCCTAGAGGCGGCCGCGCACCGGGTCGTGAGCGAGGCGAAAACGCAGCACAACGATCACGAGTACTGGAACGAGTGGCAGCAGCACGAACGGCATCAGAGGGACCGCAAGGGCGACAAGCAGTTCGGCGGCTACAGAAAAGGCGACCAGTACTGGAACGGGTGGTTGCAGCACGACCGCCACCAGCGCGGCTGGAAGGGCGACGACCAGTACGACGACCACCAGGACGGCCACAAGCACGGTGATAACTACGATCCCGAGAACGAGTCCGAGGAGAGCGTCGAGCTGCCCGAAGAGGCGCCTAAGACTAACATAGAGAAGACCGAGCAAACCAGAGACAGGTACATCGTTATCCAGGTCCCGAGCGACTGGAAGGGCGACGAACAGATGCAGGAGGAGTTCTGGGGACAGCGCTGGTTGCCAGACAGTTCTGGGGACGGCAGTGGCAGTATCGGTCAAGAAGCGGCAGGCAGTGGCAGCATGCGAGAAGGGGCGGCAGTGGTAGCAGGAGGCACAGGCGTCCGCGACGAGGCGGCACCCGACGTTAACAGCTACAGCGCGGGAGTCGCATACCCCACTGGGGCTCGCCTAGCTGAGGTGGCCCAGGCGGCCGTGGCAGCCGCCGCCACCCGTAAGAAGAAGGACGGGCGGGCAGTGGTGCGAGCGGGCAGTGGTGCGACGAGGCAGCGGAGCGAGGAGCCAGGAGCGGCGGCAGTGGCGCTAGCGGGCAGTGGTGCGAGACGCGGAGGCTGGCAGTGGCTGCCAGCCCTCGACGACCCCCAACGCCCCTCGACGTCCTCCGACCCCCCACGACGCCCCTCGACGCCCCTTGACGACCCTTCGACGCCCCTCGACGACTCACGACGGCCCTCGACGACCCTCGACGACCAGGTGCCTTTGGACCGCCCCCAACGACCCTCGACGCCCTTCGACGACCTTCGACCACCCTCGACGACCCTCGACGCCCCCTTGCGGTGCGAGCGACGGGCAGGTGTGCGAGCGGCGGGCACTCAGTGGTGCGAGCGGCGGGCAGTGGTGCGAGCGGCGGGCAGTGGAGCTAAGCGGCGAGAGGCAGTGGTGCGAGCGGCGGGCAATGGCGCTAGGCAGCGGCAGCGGGCAGTGGCAGCTGCCAGCAACGACGCCCCCCGACGACACCCCTCGACGCCCCCCGACGACCTCGTGCCCATCGACGCCCCCTGACGACACTCGACGCCCCCCGACGCCCCTCGACGACGACCCTCGACACCACTCGACCCCCCTCGACGACCCCGTGCCCATCGACGACCTTCAACGACCCCCGACGGCCCCAAACGACCGACGTCTCTCGACGACCCTCGACGAAGCAACCCCAGAGGGCGAGCTCACGACCGGGGCACGCGAGCAGGCAATGACGAAACCCCGACGCCCCCCGACGACGCCCCCCTACGACCCCGCCCGAGGCCCCCCGACGACCGTCGACGTACCCCCGTCGGCGCCCCCCAACGACGCCCCTCGACGACGCCCTCCGACGCCGTCCCCACGACGACGACCCACGATGACGCTTCAGCGGCAGCAGGAGGGACAGAGGCAGCGTGCGCAAAGAGGCGACAGTGGCAGCAGTGGAGGCAGCGTGCGAGAAGCGGCGGCAGCGGCAGCCGCGGGCAGCGGCGACCCACGCCTGGCCGTCGCCGCGGCAGCCCCTAGGGCCACGGGCGAAAGCGGCGAGAGCGACCCTGACAGCGGCGTATTGCCGCCAGAGGCGTCCGGAGGAGGCGAAGCAACAAGCCAGAACCAAGCGAGCGCGAAGCGTGCAGAACCTCAGCGCGCGCGAAGCGGAAAACACAAACAACTACGAGACCCTCGACGGCACTCGACGACCCTCGACTCCGTCCAGGAGGACTCCGACAGCGACGCCGACGACGACGCCACGCCCCAGGACACCATGTCCGACGGCGTGACCCCGCCCCCAGGGACGCCAACGAACGACGCCCCCCCGACCCTCGACCCCCCCCGACGCCCTCCGACGGCCCTCGTACGTACCTCGACGCCCTTCGACGACCCCACGCCCGACTCAGACGGCCCAGCCGACGACGACTCCGTCCAGGAGGACTCCGACAGCGACGCCGACGACGTTGCCACGCCCCAGGACACCATGTCCGACGGCATGCCCCCGCCCCCGGGCCCCATCGAGGAGAAGGAGGGCCGCGAGCAGCGGCAGCGGGCAGCGGGCAGCGGAGCTAGCAGTGGCAGCCAGCAGTGGCAGCCGGCAGCGGAGCGAGCAGCGGACAGCGGCGCGTGCAGTGGCAGCGGGCAGTGGCAGCCTGCAGCGCGAGAAGGGGCAGTGGCAGCAAGCTCGGCGATGCGCGCGCACGAAGCGCAGCGAGCTCGGCGATGCGCTGCGGCGTCACCCCAATGGCGTACTGCAACCGTCGCAGCGTTCCAGGCGGCAGGATCAACCCCCGTCAACGCCTACTGCCTCGCCGACATGGATCTCAACAGCGGCCCCGTTCCCGCCTGCGTCAAGGAGACTCTCGCAGGCCTCGGCAGCCCCTGGCCCCAGGACCATTCCCATAGGGAGGACTCCGACGGCTGTCCCTGCGACAATGTCCCAGCGTGGGAGCACAGGACCAACGCAAACACCATCGAGAGCGACACGGACGAAGCCGGCAGGCAGCGGCTGCAGTCCGAAACGCGTCTGCGAGAAGAGGCAGTGGCAGCAGGCAGAGGCGCGAAGCTGGGAGGCCACACGTCATCAGCTACAACCGCGAGGCGGGAAGGCGAGCCGCCAGCCTGGCGACCAAGCCTCCGGACGTCCCCGACCCGGAGGGCGCCGACGCCGATCCCGACGCCGAAGCAGCCCACCTGAGCCTCGAGTACCCCATCGAAATCGCCCCCTCGGGTGGTGAGCGCGCCGCCCTCCTCAGGCGGAGGAGGCTGGCGGCCACCGAGGGCGGCAAGCGACGACGAGCAGAAGAGCGGGCACCAGTACTTGCTCTTCTGAAGGGGGGAGGGATGGTGGTCCCCCCCTCCTTTCGGCTACGCCCCCCCGCTGTGGGGAGCACCGAGCCGACACGCAGAAGGACGCAGAAGGAGGAGGAGGAGGAGGAGGAGGAGGAGGAGGAGGAGGAGGAGGAGGAGAGGAGGAGGACCTCCCAAACCTCCCTTGTCCCCCGTCCTACATATGGCAGTGGTGGTGGAAAAGTGGCCCATCATGTTGATGCCCTGGTGCTCTCTCCTCCATGTGGGGCTCGAGAGAGGGGCAGCCCCGCGCCTCGAGGGCAGCCCCGGCGCCCCGCCAGAAGGGGCAGTTGTGTAGCTAGCGGAGGAGCTCGTGGCGCCGCGCATGGCTTCGCCGTCGGGCTCGGCTACGTGTGTGTGTGTGTGTGTGTGTGTGTGTGTGTGTGCGTGTGTGCGTGTGTGCGTGTGTGCGTGTGTGCGTGTGTGCGTGTGTGCGTGTGTGCGTGTGTATGTGTGTGTGCGTGTGTGCGTGCGTGCACCTTCTTGTTCGGGCGAGGGTCATACGAATGGTAGCTGCTATGTCCTGCTCTGCTGATCTACTCTGTAAGGCGTCGCCGTTGTCTGATTCCGTATGCAATATCCACGTCCTCGATGTCTCGGAGACAATTGCCGATCCAAGAAATTGTGGCGGAACTCCCACACACGATGTATGCAGAGAATGTTTCCGTAACTTGAACCATGAAGCAACCGTGGGTCAGCCGTCGGACAACTCTACGCTCAGCCACGGGTGAATCACCTGAAGACCATGGGACATCATCACGTGACAACCATCGGACTGCCACACGGAGCAACAGCAGGACGGCATGTGCCGTGTGTCGACCTGCCCGCCGTGGTTGTCTCAACTCTTTCCAACGTCCCGACCGTTTTCTCATGGGGCTATCTCTTCCAACTCTTCTTGCTGTTCTAATCCCCCCATCTCATCCACCGATCTCTGTGACTATTTCACAGTCTACCTCACCACCACGGGGCAACCTTACAATAACCGCACGTAACAGCATGGCCTAAGTCACCACAGGACAACCACAGCACAACCACGAGACAACGACAGGATGACAAAGGTGGTGGGACAACCCGGGGAGCAACGCAGCGGGCCACAGGACAACCATGGGATAGCCACATGACATCGGCAAGACAACAGGGGGGACGCGACGTCTGGGAGGGGAGCGCATCGGCTCAGCTGCGTTTTGCCTAAGGGAGGATCTTGCACAGTTTCGCCTCGCCCGCACGCGCGACACGAACCGAAACCAAAGTCCAGCCTTCCGCTGCGGGGGAGCATTTACCAACGAGCCTCAGATGTCATAATGTTGTTCTTCCTTGTCCTCCCCGGTCGCCATCCCACCTCGTCTTCCTCTTCCCTTCCAATCCTCATCCCTCTCATCCTTTCCCTTCCCGCCCTTCTCTGTCACCTTCCTCCCTTCACTTCCACCTCCTCGCTCCTCCCCCCCGCGCCTCTCCTCCCTCCTCCCCTCGCTTCCACCTCCTCGCTCCTCCCCGCATCCTGTCGGGGAGCGATCGGTGTAGATACGTAGCCTTGAGACCCTAAGGCGGGGTTACTTCCTACTGCGGGAGCGCATACACGTGATGATGATGATGATGATGATGAGGAGGAGGAGGAGGAGGAGGAGGAAGAGGAGGAGGAGGAGGCACGAGGGACAAGGAGAGAGGATAGAGGGAGGGAGAAGGAGAGGGGATCAGGAGGGGGGCCCATCCTCCCACTCCTGCTGCCCCCCCCCTCATCGTACTCCTCCTCTCACCCTCTGGTAGCCCCTTTGGCACGTGGCTGTTCAGTGGACCAGTCCCTGTTCTTACGAGAACAGGCGCCTCCGTCCCTGACGAGTGGCACCAGCGACGACCCCCATCCCACCAGCAGGCAGATTAGGATGACCCTGTCCTGCCGCTCGCAGCTCGTCGTCAACAGCGAGTGCTTCGACGAGTCACCACCACCCCCGCCCCCACCTCCGCTTCCCACCCGTTGTTCCCTGATTTGCCTGCTTGCTGCCGTTGTTTCCCTCCTTCCGTCTTCCACTTGCCCTTGCTCCCCCCCCCTCCTCCGAGTAACAACTGTCGAGGCATGGCGGGGGCTTAGCCTCAGGAGGCCGAGTCGCCCCGATTGCACATCCAGCCTTGTGGAAGCGGGTCTGCTGGCGCACGGGCGCGAGCATCGCTGGTGCGCCCCCTGTGCTTGCGGTGCCTTGTGTGACGAGTGGACAGTCAGCCCAACGACCATCTTCTCGGTAGAGAACTGCTAGATGCCCAGAAGGGGGACGCGAATGTTGGCAGTTCAACTTGCAAGAGGAGCATTGAAGTGAAGTCGTGGGAGAACTCTGACGTTGACAATGACCGCGGCTTGCTTCTGAAGTTGGTCGACCTGGCGGCGCAGCACCCGCAGAGGCTGTCCGAGGTGGAGTCTCTGGAGACAAGGACACCGACCCGTGGTGGCCCACGATGCCGACCATCGAAGACCGTCGAAGATCGTCAGAAGACCGCCTAAGACCGCCCCAGGCCGATGGGTAACAAGGGCTCCATGGCCGCACACGCAGCGTGTGGCCCCTCCTGGCCGCGGTGCCTTCTTCACTGCCCCCTCCTCTCCCCTTCCTCATCCTCCTTCTCACCTCCTCTCCCTCCTCCCCCCCTGTCGTTGCCCCTTGTCTCTCGGGTCATAGCTCAGCTTGCTGGCGACCGTTCGGGACGATCCTGGTACCCCCAGAACGCCCCGGCGAGACACAACCGCTGGAACGCACCCACGGGCTTGAGAACCGCCGAGGACCCACGAGAAATATCTGAAAATTCCTCCCTCCGAGCGCACGCCGCTCTGGAGACCACTTTTTGTCCCCTGGCGTGGCGGAGGAGGGGGAGGGGGCAAGCAAGGTGCGCTCGCGTCGTATCTGACGTCCTACCCCTCCCTCCCATCCATTACCATGGCGTACATATCCTCTCTATTCGCACAGTCGGATGCCGAGCAGGGCAATGATCCCGAGAGGGTGCGCGATGCATCGTAGAGCACGGCATAGCAAGGCGTAGAAGAGCACGGCAGAGCGTAGGATGTCATAGCATGGCGTGGCGTTGCGTAGTGAAGAATTGCCACGTCACGATTCGCGCCGGCGCCGTTCGGGAAAGCTCAGGATATTGGCCCATTCCCAGACGGCGCCGGCGCGAAGCGTGGCGTGACCAGAGGGGGAGCAGGGTGGGGGGCGGGGCCAGTCACGAGGGCGCCATCTTTCAGGAGGGGAAAAAGCACACACAGACACGATGAAGTCGTCGACGCCCAGGGAACGATGTACAGGAACCTATGGCAAGTGGGGGTGGGCAAGAAAAAAACCGAGCACATGTGATGGGAAAGCATGGGGACCCCTGGAATTTGCGTCTATTGTTTTTTTGTTGTGTGTGTGTGTGTGTGGGCCCCTGGGCCCCTTGAATCTCGAGACAAGAAAAAATTAGCCTGGCGAAGGACCCAACCATATGCAATTGTGAATGCCGCAATTGTGCTGGGTGGTGGCGGACGCATGCGGGCGGTGCCACTGGGACCTCCGGTGGAGCTCCCTATGGGGCCACGAAACGCTGTACTGGGTGGGTGAGACGCGGTCAGCAAGGGCTGTGCTGCGTGGTGGCGGACGCATGCGAGCGGTGCCACTGGGACCTTCGGTGGAGCTCCCTATGGGGCCACGAAACGCTGTACTGGGTGGGTGAAACGCAGGCAGGGAGCAAGGGCTGCGCAGGGTGGTGGCGGACGCATGCGGGCGGTGCCGCTGGGACCTTTGGTGGAGCTCCCTATAGGGCTACGAAGCGCTGTTCTGGGTGGGTGAAGCGCAGGGAACAAGGGCTCTGCTGGGTGGTGGCGGACGCAAGCGGGCAGTGCCACTGGGACCTTTGGTGGAGCCCCCTATGGGGCCGCGAAACGTGCGAGGGGTGTGCCAGAATGGGGGGTGTGGAACCGCATGCGAGCGCAGCCACTGGGGCCTTCGGTGGAGCTCCCTAGGGAGCCACGAAGCGTGTGAGGGGTGTGCCGAAATGGGGGGTGGAACCGCATGCGAGCGCAGCCACTGGGGCGTTCGGTGGAGCTCCCTATGGGGCCACGAGACGTGTGAAGGGCGTGCCGAAAAAGGGGGTCGAACCGCATGCGAGCGCAGCCACTGGGGCCTTCGGTGGAGCTCTCTATGGGGCCACGAACCGTGTGAGGGGTGTGCCGAAATGGGGGGGGGAACCACATGCGAGCGCAGCCACTGGGGCGTTCGGTGGAGCTCCCCATGGAGCCACCCACGAAGCGTGTGAGGGGTGTGCCGAAATGGGGGGTGGAACCGCATGCGGGCGCAGCCACTGGGGCCTTCGGTGGAGCTCCCTATGGGGCCACGAAACGTGTGAGGGGTGTGCCAGAATGGGGGGTGGAACCGCATGCGGGCGCAGCCACTGGGGCCTTCGGTGGAGCTCCCTATGGGGCCACGAAACGTGTGAGGGGTGTGCCAGAATGGGGGGTGGAACCGCATGCGGGCGCAGCCACTGGGGCCTTCGGTGGAGCTCCCTATGGGGCCACGAAACGTGTGAGGGGTGTGCCAGAATGGGGGGTGGAACCGCATGCGGGCGCAGCCACTGGGGCCTTCGGTGGAGCTCCCTATGGGGCCACGAAACGTGTGAGGGGTGTGCCAGAATGGGGGGTGGAACCGCATGCGGGCGCAGCCACTGGGGCCTTCGGTGGAGCTCCCTATGGGGCCACGAAACGTGTGAGGGGTGTGCCAGAATGGGGGGTGGAACCGCATGCGGGCGCAGCCACTGGGGCCTTCGGTGGAGCTCCCTATGGGGCCACGAAACGTGTGAGGGGTGTGCCAGAATGGGGGGTGGAACCGCATGCGGGCGCAGCCACTGGGGCCTTCGGTGGAGCTCCCTATGGGGCCACGAAACGTGTGAGGGGTGTGCCAGAATGGGGGGTGGAACCGCATGCGGGCGCAGCCACTGGGGCCTTCGGTGGAGCTCCCTATGGGGCCACGAAACGTGTGAGGGGTGTGCCAGAATGGGGGGTGGAACCGCATGCGGGCGCAGCCACTGGGGCCTTCGGTGGAGCTCCCTATGGGGCCACGAAACGTGTGAGGGGTGTGCCAGAATGGGGGGTGGAACCGCATGCGGGCGCAGCCACTGGGGCCTTCGGTGGAGCTCCCTATGGGGCCACGAAACGTGTGAGGGGTGTGCCAGAATGGGGGGTGGAACCGCATGCGGGCGCAGCCACTGGGGCCTTCGGTGGAGCTCCCTATGGGGCCACGAAGCGTGTGAGGGGTGTGCCAGAATGGGGGGTGGAACCGCATGCGGGCGCAGCCACTGGGGCCTTCGGTGTAGCTCCCTATGGGGCCACGAAGCGTGTGAGGGGTGTGCCAGAATGGGGGGTGGACCCGCATGCGGGCGCAGCCTCTGGGGCCTTCGGTGGAGCTCCCTATGGGGTCACGAAGCGTGTGAGGGGTGTGCCAGAATGGGTGTGGGAGGGGGAGGAGGGGGGAAGAAGGGGAGGAGGAGGAAGGAGGAGGAGGAAGGAACGCGGGGCGACGTCTCTTCAAAACGAGGACCCAACACCACAGGATGGTTGGGAAAACGATCTCCTGACTGCCCCGCCCCCCCCCCCCGCACACGGCCGCGGCCGCGCCCCGCAGCCCCGCCGTCGCCCTACCGTTCAGCATCATGGAGCTGCTGCAGGGGCAGACGCTGGCCGCCCGCTTTCAGGAGGCCCAGGACCCCGCGCGCCGAGGGGTCGGCCGCGGTCGGAGGGCACCACCTGTACATGCATATACACATACTTACCTATGCACATCTACACATACTCACGTATACTTCTGTAACATGCACACACATGCACACGTACCTACATATATTCACATACATACATATATATATATATTAAGGGTATACACATACATATATGTACGTATAAATGTGTTTCTATGTGTACATCTTTTTATGTTCGCACATATGCGTATACATGCATACCCATTTAAATGTATATCGATACTTACACATACACACGTGCATTTCTATAATTTGCATACACATGCACACATGCACATATATATAAACATATATTCACACATATGTATATGCATAGACCGTATGAAGACTTACATACACATACACGTACGTATAACTGTTTCTGTGTGTAAATCTGGATATGTTCACACATCTGTGTATGCATGCATACCCATGTAGAAGTATATACATATATCGATGTGCAAGAGTCCACTGGCGCTTCGCGCCATGCGCCTTAGTCCTCGAAGTTTGGCGTGGAGGCGGAAGGGCATGAGAGTGAACAAGACAAGTTAGAGATCGCTCCTTGTTCTCTTTTCTATATTTTTGCAATCTGGTGGGTGGAACACCCCCCTCCCCTCGGGCCGGACCTTCCGGAATCCCTGGCTTCTGGGGCTCCTGGACGCCCCTGCCGAGGGTCCTATGAGACCTCCGGGCTTCTGGGAGTCCCTGCCAAGTCGTGCAAACGAGCCGGCGGTAGCCCCGAGAGGAATCAACATGGCCTCCTGATGGCCCAAGAGACTTTCCAAACGCCTCAAAGAGCTCCAAGAGGAACCCCTAAATGGGCCTCCAAATCCCAAACATGTGTGTTTCCGATAGGTTTTGCATTATTTTGGCACTATCCTTTTTTCGGGCTACCGACGCCCCAGGAAGGCCCCAAAGGCCCCCAACATCGCTCCAGGACAACCCATGACGGCCCGAAAAGGCTCCAAGACGGGCGAAGATGCCCCCACGATCCCCGAAGAAGGCCCCAAGACGGACCCTCAGACCGCCACCAAGCGCGAGCCCTCTGGCCCTTAAGGACCCCCGAAACTGCCAACAGGCGCCCAAACGCCCCAACCAGGTTTCACGAGGTCACCAATAAGACCGAACATGAACCAAAGGGGGTTACAAGTTATCTCCCAAACCACAACATTGTTTCCGCGACGACCCCGAGACGCCTCCCCACAGACCCAAACACATCGAAGAGGCCTTTGACGTACGACCCCGCATTGGCGCCCTCGTCCAGCATTTCCACCACATATGTCCGAATCCCAGTTTCGTGACGTTCCCTCCAGGCACGTGGGTAGTAGGAGGAGGAGGATGGTGATGATGATGATGATGATGATGATGATGATGACGAGAATAATGATGATGCTGATGCTGATGATGATGACGATGATGATGATGATGATGGTGATGATGTTGATGATGCTGATAATGATGATGATGATGATGATGATGATGATGATGATGATGATGATGATGATGATGATGATGATGATGATGATGATGCTGATGCTGATGTTGATGCTGATGATGATGATGCTGATGCTGATGCTGATGATGACGATGATGATGATGATGAGGAGGAGGAGGAGGAGGTGGTGGTGGGGCTTGCGCCGTGGATAAGGTGAGGCCCCGAGGAGGATGTGGATGAGGAGTATGAGGAGGAGGAGGAGGAGGAGGAGGAGGAGGAGGAGGAGGAGGAGGAGGAGGGGGGAGGTGGAGGAGGGAGGAGGAGGAGGAGGAGGAGGAGAAAGTAGGAGGATCGGATAATGCCAAGGGGGATCACCACTAGGGGCGGTCACCACATCCTTTGTGGACCTCAGAACCAAAAAGGGGAAGAGGACACATTAGGGAAGGATAACGAATGAAATTATTATGGGGACGAATCGGTCAAGACAACGATGAGTTATCGCCATTTTGTATGCTTTACCTTCCTGCAGCTTCGCCGCGACTTCTGCCTGCATGCCAAACTTGAAGGACCAAGGTGCGTAGCGAGAACCGCCAACGCAGTCGTGTATATACACGGATATGTATGTACGTGTATATATATATATATATATATATACATAGATCTCCATTGGCGCTTCGAGCCATGCGCCTTGGTCCTCGAAGTTTGGCGTGGAGGCGGAAGGGCAGGAGGGTGAGCAGGACAAGTTAGCGATCGCTCATTGTTGCTTTTGTGTTCCGACGTCGCCGTTGTAATACTGGTATTCGTTATCATCCCTCCATGTTTCATGTTCCTCATTCTCGCCCTGCCCTGCGAGTTTTCCCCCATCTTCCGCAGCTCTGTTTGCGAAGGCTCCTCCTTGGAGAGCCTTTTGGGGCCTTACGGAATTGTTTAAAGCTTGCAGGCCTTCTGGAGGCCTCTTGGTGCCTTTTGGGGGCCTCTGGGGGCTTCTTAGGGCCACCCTGCTTTCAACCGCGGTCTCCCTCAACGACGGGTCACGAGTTGGAATGCTTCGGGCGACGTCTTGGGGCCATCTTGGGCAGTCGTGGAGCTCTCTTCGGGTCATCTTGGAACCCTGTTGTGCCGTTTTGGAGCTCTCTTGGACTGCCTGGAAGCCTTTTCGGATAGTTTGGGGGCGAAGTTCGGGCCTCCAAGGCGGTCTCGGACGCCCAGAAGACCGAAGAACATGACATCCCCAACATCTCACAAGCACCAGAATATATCGATGTTTGTCCTGCGTTTTGAAAGCCTCTTAGGGTGTCTTCTTTGAGTCGTCTTCGGGCGTTTGGTGGGTGTCTGGGGCCTCTTGGGGCCCTCGTGGGGAGCGTTCGGCCGCCCTCCTGACCGATTTGGGTCCGTTGCCTAGGCCCAGCAGGGACTTCCAGGAGCTCCGAAAAGCTTGGGGAGCCTCCTGCATGGGCGTCCGGGGGGCCCCCGAGGCCATGGATCGCGGGGGTCCCGTTTTTTTTTAGGGGAGGTCCGCAGGGTCATTTTAAGTTTATGAAAGCGGGATCACCCTGGCCAGGCCGATCATGGGCCCAGGATCGGTGCGTATGCCGTCCTGTCGGGGCCAGGAGGGCGTATCCACAGGTCCTGGGCCGAGGATGGTCCTGGCCAGGATCGGTGCAGACATGTAGTTGGAAGTACTGAGCTTTGGTCCCCTCCCGATTCTATCGGCTGTGAGTGGCACTCGGCCCTCCTCCTCCTCCTCCTCCTCCTCCTCCTCCTCCTCATCATCATCATCATCATCTTTCTCCTCCTCCTCCTCCTCCTCCTCCTCCTCCTCTTTCTCGTCCTCCTCCTGCTCCTCGTCGTGGTCGTTATCGTAGTCGTCATCGTCGTCGTCGTCGTCGCGGCGGAGATTATTTCCCCTCTACTGTTTGGAGACTGAGACATGTTAGGGGGGTCTCCCAGGGAATAATCCATTGTGGGTTCCCGATACGCCAGAGCAGTGGTTGCAATCGTAGTCGCAATCGTCGTCGTCGTCGCGGCGGAGATGATTTCCCCTCTACTGTTGGGCGGGCTGGATACTGTTGGGTCTTTCATTCAGGGAAGAATGCTCCCTGGGCTACCCTGCGCGACAGGGGCATTTTGAGCACGTCTGTAAGAGGATTGCAATATAGATCGACACATTATTCTCCAGAGGCGTTGCTCACAATTTCCTTCTTCATCTCGTCGTCGTCGTCGTTGTTGCGCGGCGGGTGCCGCGGAGAAAGTACCAGTTATGTCCCATCATCAGTGAGACCTCAGCCGTCAATAAAACCGCCGGCAACTAGTCAATTCCATTATGGGGGGTTGTAGAAGCCTATCTGGGATAGTGGGGCTCCTGCTGTCCGGGGCAGGCACAGACAGGCTCGCTTTGTCAAACAACAAGAACACGACGGGAGGTGTGCGGCTGGTCTTGACCCCTGGCGGGGCCTGGACAGGGCCCCGGGACTGTCAAAGAAACGACTCGCGATACGCACCCGGCCGCTGCGAAGGGGTCCGGACTTCGGGAACCCAGCCTTGGAAGCATCAGGACGTCGCGCGTCCGGGGGCGGGTCCTCCAAGGGCGCGGGCGCTGCGGTGTCTCATCGTTTCTGGCTTCCCTGGGCTCTGCCTGGGCCCTGTTGGACCGAGCAGGTGGTCCTGGGGCAGGGCCCAGGGGTCCAGGACCCGCTTCCCTCGGGACCCGCCTGCTTCGAGCCAAGGGGGCCCGCAGATCTTGGCGCCGCATTGCGTTTCGCATCGGGCGTTTTCGCCCAGGCTCAGGCCCTGGGGCCCTCGCGCGGTCGGTCCAGGTCGAGAGAGGCAGCAGAAAGGTGGGGTCTCTATATGCGGTCGTGCTTTTATTTTCACGATTCCTCGATTGTTTGTATACCGCATCCTGCCCGCCTCAAGTAGGGGCCTCGTGTAGTATACAGAAACCGCGGCCCAAGGAGGGCACGTTGTACACCGAGCCCACGACCAGGACCCTTGCCCAACCCCAGGACTCGTTGGGTAGTGTGTGTGTGTATATATATACACATATATATAATTATATATATATATATATATATAGATATATACACAAGTATACAAGACTGCAGTGGCGCTTCGCGCCATGCACCTTGGTCCTTGAAGTTTGGTATGCAGGCGGAAATGGCAGGAAGGTAAAGCCGACAATTTAGCGATAACTCCTTGCTGTCTTTTCTGGCATCGCCGTTATAATTATGGTGTTCGTTATCCTTCCTCCACGTTTATTTTTCTTCATTCTCGCCATACCCTTGGCATTCTCCCCATCCTCCTCAGCTCTTTTTGCGGAGGCTCCTCCTTGGAGAGCCTCTGGGGGCCTCACCAAAGTTCTCAGGCTTTCTTAAAGCCTTCTGGAGGCCTCCTGGGCGTGTTCTGGGGGCCTCTGGGGCTTCCTAAGGCCAACCGGCCTCTAACCGCGGTCTCCCTGAACGTCCCGGTCACGATTTGGAATGCTTCGGAGGGTGTCTTGGGGCCATCTTGGGGGGGCTCTCTTAGGGTCATCTTGGAC